AGGGTTGCGATCCGTTGCCGGACACGAAAAAAGACAAAAAGGAAAAAAAAAAAAAAACCTTGTAAATACCTAGTTAAACTCACAGATGGTAAGAGACTTTTCTAGGAGCCCAAAACAAAAAGTGAAGTGAAAAACAGAAAGGTAAAAATGTGAGAGAATATTCTAGTTGTCTCTTAGGGGAAAGCCAACCTTGATAAGCTAGGGCTTTAGTCTTATCCTCTACATGGGCACAGAAGACAAGGCCCTAGTTTTGCAGAGGAAAAGTTAAAAAAAAAACAGCCACATAAAACTAGGACTCTCCAAGGGTTACATCCTCATTAAAAGTGTAGACAAGAAGGGCCGACCCCGTGGGCGCACTCGGGAGAGTGCGGCACTGGGAGCGCAGCGACGCTCCCGCCGTGGGTTCGGATCCTATATAGGAATGGCCGGTGCGCTCACTGGCTGAGCGCGGTGCGGGCGACACCACACCAAGGGTTGCGATCCCCTTACCAGTCACGAAAAAGACAAAAAAAAAAAGTGTAGACAAGAACAAATGACTGGGGATTTTGGCTGTCATAGCCCGGGGCCTGGATAGGGGGGAAAATGTCTCATCTTAGAATTTGTCACCACAGGTCTCTTTACTCAGGTTTAGGGTTCAAATATATATTGGGAACAATGAGGTCACTGAGGTACCAGAAAAAGACATTCTGTAAGACATATCCTCAAAAAGCCATATGGGTTCCCACTGAAAAGCTCTACTAAAGGTGATCTCAAAGTCCAAAATTATAAAATAAGTGAGAAAGCAATTCACCAAAATGATATAACAGATTGTGGAAAGTTGTTAAGGACAATATTAAAAAGGAAAAAAAAGTTCACTGGAAAATAGAGAAAAAAGCTTATCATGTTGGGGCAATAAAAGGTTCTAATGTTTGTTCTTCAAAAAAAGCGCAAAAGTTAGAGGGGAAAAAGGAGGGGAGAAGGCACTTGTGAAAAAAAATGTAAATTCAAAATGTGTCCCCCACCATGGTAGTTGAAAATATGTCCACAAATTCTTTGATACTTTCCCCTTCAAGAGTTGGAACTTAATTCCCTTCCTGAGAGTGGGCTAAACTTCAGTAAATTGTTTCCAAAGAACAGAATACAGTGGAAATTAACAGTATACAACTTCTAAGACTATAACATAAAAGGCTTTGTGGCTCCTCCTTGTTCTCTCTGGGATGACTTGCTCTGGAGAAAACCAGCTGTCATATCGTGAAGACATGCAAAAGTTGTCTGATTGTGAGATCCATAGAGTGAGGAACTGAAATCTCCTGCCAATAGCCAGCAAAGATCTGAAGCCTTTGCCAAAAACCACGTAACTGAACCAGCTGGAAAGTGAATTCTCTAGCCCTAGTCAATCCTTCAGATTACTGCAGTCCCCGCCATTAGCTTGACTGCAACCTTATGAAAGACTATGAGAACCACCCAAAAAAAAAAAAAAAAAAAAAAAAAAAAAGGAAAAAAAAAAAAAGAAGACCTTGCTGAAAAAATGTTAGGAAAAAAAAAATTAAATCAATAGGTGAGGGAAACAATAGTAGAAAAATTAATCCAAAGTACAACCAAAAAGGGGGAATAGCATTTTGAATTTCTAGCGTATAAAAATTACAAGCTTCTAGAAACACTGTTCATTCTGCAATATAAAATAATGCCAAGTATCAATTTTCAGTGAGATTTTAAAATCAAAATGCCACTAATTAAAAATCTCTTCTAGAAACACTGTTCATTCTGCAATATAAAATAATGCCAAGTATCAATTTTCAGTGAGACTTTAAAATCAAAATGCCACTAATTAAAAATCTTCTCAAATATATGTTAAAGAACAGCCATACTTAATCAAAAACATCCTCAGAAAAGAAGTAACTTTCATAAAGCAGAAATGTTCTCATGCTCTTCCATCTGGCTTCCAAGGCTCTCCATATCTGATCCCACACCCTGAATATATAACTCCCAGACCAACAAGAGTGATTTCATGTGTCACACCTTCATGTCACTGTACTGTATTTTCTCCTAAATACACTTCTTGTTTGTACCCAAAGTTTACTACCTCCTATCTTCCAAAGACCAATTAAAGCCCACTTTCCTCATTAAGTTTTCTAAAATGATCCCAGAAAATTCAATTCCTTTTTCCTATTTCCAACTACAGTTAGTAGCCCATTAAAATACTATCAAGTCAACAACCTTTGTTAAATAAAGCCTATAACAAGAAGATACAGTGAAATAAAGTGAAATGGAAACAGTAAAATTCCTATCCAAATAGTCTTTTAACACCTGCTTTATTATAACCAACCTCTAAAATTAGAGACTCCACAATAGAAAATGAGTCCAAATTCTATATGAAAAATGAGAAAAATTTTCCAAAGTATTCTCTCAGAAAATTGACACCATGAATTGTTAAGACATTTTATATTAATCAAAAATACATCTCCAGCAAAGCAATAAACCTACTCTGCAGTTTGTGACACTAACCCATTAATAAAACCAGAATAAAAAAGGACAGAAAGGAAGGACAGTAAGTAGTGTTTATTTTACTTTACAAGCCTTTTTATGTAATCCATTGAATCCCAATGAAAAATGTTTCATTTTTAAATTCCCCAGAATCTGGCACTATCTAAGCCTGAAAACATTTAATTGATGCTTCTTGTATACGTAACAGCAAAATCAATTACCTTTGTATTACCACTACTCATGTATCAACTGGATATTCTATTGGTTTAGTTTTAGGCATTAAGGCCTTTGCATTTCTATAGGTCTGAGTCTAAAATTTTGAACTAACTACAGTATGCCTTCTTCAGAATTAGCTAATAATTCAACTGCATATAATTTTCCAACTTATAAAGTAAATCCTCCTTTCATCCATATATATCTTAAATATCTTTATGTAACCAAACAACATAATGACAAAAACAGCTTTCTTTCCTTAAAACAATGTTTTAATATAGTAAATAGCTACATTTTAAGAAATTCTACTTAATTCCTATAAAAATATAACTTTGGTCTTACCATGATAAATATCTTGTAAAGAACCACCTCCACAAAACTCCATGCAAATCCAAAGTTTATCTCGCCTATAAAAAGAAAATAAGCATGTATCATATCTTCATGATTAAAATCGTCTATTTGGGGTAATAAGGTTTTTTTTTGGTCATTGGCTGGTATGCAGATCTGAACCCTTGACCTTGGTGTAGTAACACTTAATTTTAACCAACTGAGCTAACTGGCCAGCCCTGTTTGGGTTAATAAGTACCTTAAGATTGTATGTTATGACCTTGAAAAACCATATAAATGCAATGAGCTATCTTAAAAGAAACTAATTAATCTTTATGTGTAAATGAATTAAAATAATGTTACTATAATTCAATCCGAGGTTTTAATACTTAAAATACACTATTTGTAGGACATAAAGCTGTCATCAGGCACATCCAAATTATGAGATTTTGCTTTATTTAAAAGCTTCCCCTTACCCACAGTATATCCATCTACCCTGATTCATCACAGAATACTGGCAACACATCATAAAGTATATCACTTTGATAGCACTCTCATCAAAAAAACAGATGAATATAAATGTTACCTTCATATCTAGATTCAACAACGATCTTCCCAAAATAATCTGTTAAAATTTGTCACTTATCTTTAGATAGCACTTCATTCTCACACTCACATTCTAAGATACCATAATCATATAATCATAGGAGAAATAATTAGCAAAGATTTATATAGCTTATTCCTTTGTTTATTCCTTTATTCAATCATTCATTTACATCACCTCTTAAACTATACCAGGGAGGAGCCAAGGGTGGCCCCCTCTGCCTGGAAGCAAGCAAGAGAGCACATCCAGGGTTCGACAGCAGGAACCAGGGGAAGGATCCCCTGCCTGGAAGCAGACAAGGAGCACACCAAAAACACCACTTCCATGTGGGTCGTCCACCAGAGCCATCACCACTGCCACGGCTGCCACAAAAGCAGTGAATGACACAGCAGTAGTCACAGCTACCATGCAGGCTACCCACCAGACACTGGACTTCATTGACACAAGGAAAGTCACCAGTGGAGACCAGAATAAGAAGAGGATGTCTTTCTCCTCAAAGCCCACTCCAGAATATTAGAAGAAGCAACTGGGGCTGGCCTGGTGGCGCACTGCTACAGTGTGCTGCTTGGGAGTGCGGCGGCGCTCCCGCCGAGGGTTCGGATCCCACATACAGACCGGCTGCTCACTGGCTGAGCGAGGTGCGGGCGCAACACCGAGGGTCGCGATCCCGTTGCCGGTCCCGGTCCAGTACGGGCGCGACACTGAGGGTTGCGATCCGTTGCCGGTCACGAAAAAAGACAAAAAAAAGGAAAAAAAAAAAAAAAAAAGAAGAAGAAGCAACTGTTCTACCAGATGACCAGACATCAATGCAGACATACTAGAAATACAAAAACCCGAGAAAATATGACACCATCAAAAGAATACAGTAATTCTCAAATACCAGACCCCATAGAGCTAGAAACCCTTGAGATGACTAAAAAGGAATTCTGAGCAACAATCTTAAGGAAACTCACTGAGATAAAAGAAGACTCAATTAGACAACATAATGAAATGAGAAAAAAAATCCGGGATACGAAGGAGGAAATTTACAAAGAGATTGATACCTTTAAAAAGAATGTAGCAGAACTCATGGAACTAAAAGATTCATTCAACAAAATTAAGAACACAACTGAGAATTTAAGTAGCAGGCTAGAACAAGCAGAAGAAAAGAATTTCTGATCTCAGAGACAGTCTTTTCAAAATAACCCAGGTGGACCAAAAAAAAAAAAGGAAAAAAGAACTTTCAAAAAATGAAGAAAATCTAAGAGAGCTAGCAGACAGCCTTAAGCACAAAAACATTCAAATCATGGGTGTTCCAGAAGGGAAGGAGAAAGGAAAAGGCAAGAAAAACCTATTCAATAAAATAATAAAGAAAAACTTCCCAGGTATAGGGAGAGACATGACATTCAGATCCAAGAGGCTCAAAGATCCCCAAACAGATTCAACCCTAAAAGATCATCTCCAAGACACGTTATAGTCAAACTGGCAAAGCTCAAAGACAAAGCGAGAATCTTAAAAGAAGTAAGAGAAAAGCATCAAGGAGCCCCTATCAGACTCACAGCAGAGACTCTATCAGACTTCTCAACAGAGACTCTACAGGCCAGAAGAAAATGGGATGATATATGAATACTATACCCAGCAAGGGTATATAGCAAGAATACTATACCCAGCAAGGGTATAGTATTTCCTTCAGAAATGAGGGGAAAATTGTGTACTTTCCAGACAAAAACTGCAGGAGTTTACCACATCACCAGCCCTACAAGAAATTCTCAAGGAAGTCCTGCACCTGGAATCTGAAAAACAATAATTACTACCATGAATATACAAAAAAGAATGGAACCCACTGGATGAACAAAAATGCAAACAAGAAACTGCATCTTATCACCACAAAAAACCATGACAATGTAATAATGCCCCTGCTTTACTTCTGAGTTTAGTAATTTTGGTCTTCTCTCTCTTTTTTTCTTGGTCAGTCA